TTGCCAGGACTGAACATTTCAAAAGGAGAGGAGGTAGTTGGAAGAATTTGGCAGTCTAATGATCCCCTCCTAGTATAGTGGAGGTGTTAAAATTCCTTAAGGGCCAGGCATGGTGGCTCACACCTGCAATTCTGGCACTTTGGGAGGCCTAGCCAGGTGGATCACTTAACCCCAGGAGTTCGAGACCAGCCCTGGCAACATGGCAAAACTTCATCTCTACAAAAAATATAAAAAATTAACCGGGTGTGGTGGTGTGCACCTATAGTCCCAGCTACATGGAAGGCTGAGGCAGGAGGATCTCGGGCCCCAGATATCAAGGCTGCAATGAGCCGTGGCCACGCCACTGCACTCCAGACTGGGCCGCAGAGCAAGACCATGTCTCAAAGAAACAAAATTCCCTCAAGAACTGTTACATCTCCACTCGTAGACAGTGTGTATGGGAGAAACAACCCTGCTCCAGCAGTGAAATCTCTATTTCAAAATGCAGATCAAAGGGTCACAAAGGCCACTGCAGCACCAGTATGCCTGCCTATGACCACATCAAGCCCCTCAGGTCATTTCTCCATTGTTCATATTTTCCCCTGATTCCAAAAGGGGAGGTGGAGGGAGCAACGTACTCTTACTGGGCTAGCACCTGTACCTCTGTAGTGGTTCTGATTTCCCTGCCTGCCTTTGCTAGAAATAACACTTACACATGCACAGGTTTGAAAATTAAGACAAAGCAGAGGAGACGAAAGACTCTGATATTATTTAATTCAGAGAACAGAAGTTGGGGGGTGGAGAGAGAGTTTAATGCCTATGAAATCTCCAATACATTGTTAAGCAGAAGAGCAATGGAGGCCAGCTATTCGCAGCTCCTTCCCCCAACACACACACACACACACACACATGCAAGGTTTAACTACAGCATGACAGGCTCAGATTAGCCCTGAGAAGAACTGGGCAATGAGGCAGGTGACCCAGGAATGAGTGACACAGAAAGGCTATGAAATGTTGCCTCAGGGGCTTAACCCTTTATCACTCACACTGTATCTTCCCAGACAGGATTCAGGTAGGGAAATTGAAATAACGTTGGACATTCTTCTAGCCTCAGATAGCCTATCTGTTAAGCAAGGGGGCTGGAAACCCCTTCTCCCTCTTGGTTCTACCTGCCAGGCTTGCTGCTGTTTCCTAGTGGAACAGGGTTGTTTCTCCCATACACACTGTCTACGAGTGGAGACGTAACAGTTCTTGAGGGAATTTTGTTTCTTTGAGACATAGTCTTGCTCTGCTGCCCAGTCTGGAGTGCAGTGGCGTGACCACGGCTCATTGCAGCCTTGATGTCTCGGGCCCAAGAGATCCTCCTGCCTCAGCCTTCCATGTAGCTGGGACTACAGGTGCACACCACCACACCCGGTTAATTTTTTGTATTTTTTGTAGAGATGAGGTTTTGCCATGTTGCCAGGGCTGGTCTCGAACTCCTGGGGTCAAGTGATCCACCCGGCTAGGCCTCCCAAAGTACTGGAATTGCAAGTGTGAGCCACCATGCCTGGCCCTTAAGGAATTTTTAACACCTCCACTATACTAGGAGGGGATCATCAGACTGCCAAATTCTTCCAACTACCTCCTCTCCTTTTGAAATGTTCAGTCCTGGCAAAGCTGTAGACCAAGACCAAGAGGCAAAAGAGACATGAAACGAGTGAAAGGTTCCCCTTATGAAGCTCCCAAGTTAACTCAGTCCCCATTTCCTCTTCGGGAACGAGGGAGGTAAGATGAAGGGGATGGTTAATGAAATCTGCATTGATTGGAAGCTGCTGGTTCCATGGGACACAGTGGAAAGAGCCACTGCACAGGAAGCAGGAGCCTATCCTTAAATAGCTGTGTGACCTTAAGCAAGCCCCTGATGCTTTCCAAGGCTCAGGATTCTCATCTGTAAGCATAGCAGTTCAAACTGGTGCTCCCCAAGGACTGCCTATCTGAGAGGAAGGTGTTCAGCAGAGGCCTGGGGAACACTTCTCGGTCCCAACCATGTTGGTATTTAGGCCCCACTTCCCACCTCTTCCTGTCCTTTCCCCTGCAATGCCAAAGGGAGGCTGACATAGTAAAACTTTCCTTTGGAGGTAGCCTGCCCACAGCTCTACTTCCAGATCCAAAGGTGGCCTCTTAACTGGCTGACTTTGCAGCATGCTTCTGATCCCTTTCTAAGACCCCATTCTAACACTCATTCAAAAATCTTGTTTGTATTACAGCATATTTATATACAAAAATAGCAACTCTCTGCCAATTCCCTACTCTTTGATGCCCCCTTCCCCTAAAAGGATCAGATTCCCATTCCACAGCCTGTCATCTGGGAAACCCCATCACTGAGCCTCAACCTCTTCTCTACCTCTGAGCCACACCATCTCAACCAGAATAGACTCATTCACTCCCCTCACCCTGCCTGTCAATCGCTTTCTCTCCTCCCATTCCTGGGTCTGCTTACCCTTTGCCTACCAAACCCCTCTACTTTCTGGCAGCTTCCAAGGATGATCCCCCTGCTTATACAGATCTTTCATCTCTCTTCACATAGTTTGTCTCTAGGCTCATGAATCAGCAACCAAAGATATGCGTGGTCTGGGATCTGAGCATTCCAAATCCTGAGCCTGTTGTTGGGGGAGGATATATCATTATTTTTTTTTTTTCTTGTAGTTGCAATCATCCCCCTTCTAATCCATCCTCATTAGGCACACTCAATACAATACATATCTGAGCCTTGACTACCATTTCTCTAGTCACTTTCATATGAATCAGGACAAGCACAAGTTGGAAAGGTAAAGGTCTACTCGAAAACTCTACAAAGAAAGCAAGCCCTTCCGGAACAATCGTTAACTGCTCTGCACTGCTTGGCTTTGAGAGGGTTGTGGCTGAGGTCCAGGTTTTATTTACTCCTCCAAAGGGTTCTGAGAGAACCCAGACATCCATGATATCAGACAAAACAGAGGCAGGCCAACTTAATTATAGTCTGCATCCTATTATAATTTAAGCCTGAATATGCCCAGGAGAAGGAGGCAGCCCTGGAGGAGTTCCAAGAAGAAAGAAGTCATCATGGGTGGGCAAGAGCCAGGCAGGAAAGGCACCAAGGAAAAGGTAGGCCCAGAACTGGGGTCTGAGAAGGAAGAAGATTTGGACAGGTGTAGGCTGAGTGGGTTTGGGTGTGGGCAAGGGAGTTACATAGAGCAGATACATTAGGTGCCTGTTGGCCTAAGACAAGGCAGAGGGCAGGTCCAGCCCTGGGCTAGAGATGCCCAGCTGCAAGTAGAGTTTTGTGTTGGGGCCTAATCAAGGTGGGAGGAGGTGACTGTAGTGTGATATCTGTGGTCCTGGCTCCTGTCATAAAGATCCAGAGCTAGCCTTCCTCCAAGTGAGGAATTTACTGGGTCTCATTGCCCCTCCTCAAAGTGCCCAAGGTTTGCTTGGGCCCTGCAGCCCGCAGGACTCTCCACACCAGAGATTAATCAAAGGTCCAAGAAGAGCCTACCAAGTCCCTCAGTGGCTTTCTCTGTCCTATTCCTCAAAAAGGCCTAGAGAGCCCACTGCCAGAGGTGCACCGTGGTGCAGTGACTGTGCAGTGGGTGGGGCCGAATGAGGGGAGCCGCACTGGGGGAGGGGGCTCTGCTGGAATCCTGGTGGGGCAGGCAGTCCAACAGTGCAGTGCCCTCCGCCTTGCCCATGCCCACGCCGCTGCAGCAGGCAGGCAGGCAGAGCCGCAGAGAGAGATATTTGTGTGTTGAACAAGGCTCGCCTTGACCCCGCAGCCCTTGCCAAGAGGAGCCTGGCCAAACGGAGACCAGCTCTGAGGGACCAGTCCAGCTGCTGCCTAGGCGCTTGGGCTGTGACGCATGTAGCGGACGCAGCCCCTCACCACTGGGGGAGCCAAGCAAAGTCCAGCGTTCGGGCGGTCACCAGTGTCAGAAGTGTCTCCAGGAGACAATGACAGTGGCCTAGAGGGCTGGGTATGTTAAGTAACTGCGAAGTTGGAGGGGTTAGCCACCTCGATAGCTCTCCTGTACACACAGAGACGGTATGATACGTTCCGTACTACAATGAGGGCTCCTTCGGCCTCAGGCAAGGAAATGCCCCCCAAACACCGTGCCTATCGCTATTTTTAAACGGGAGGCTGGAGAGAAAAACGCGGCCAGTATCCTCCAAGGGAAAAGGAGGTGAGGCGAGGCGGGAGACAAAGCGGCCTTGCAGCTCTAACTCAAGGACTAGCTTGCGCCGCTGCTCTAACCCAAGGACCAGCAAGAGCCCGGCTGCCAGCCAGCCTGCCCGACCGCGGGGGCGGGCGCCAGATGCGCCGGGAGGCCCAGGAGGAGGGGCGCGGCTAGTTGGGGCCGCAAGGCCAAGGTTCTGAAGGGAAGTGTGCGACTGAGCTCAGCCCACAGGCCCAACTGAGCTCCTCTGGGGAGGGGGCAGTCTGTGGATGTCCTAATCCACGCCAAAGCCGGTTTCCGTCGGGCCCAAGCCAGCACGCCAGCTTGAGTCCGCAGAAAGGAGGGAGAGGCTGGAGATGCACAGGGGAGGGGAGGGGCGGCAGCCAGGGTGAGGGGTGAGCGGTACCCGCGTTACACAGCTGTTCCAGCAAATGTGCTATAACAAAGCTGCAGAGCTCCCGGCCTACAAATGCATGGCTTGGGGTGCTGGCTGGCGGCGCCCTTCCCGGGACTGTGCGACAGCACGTGCGGGCCCATCCCCGCCCCCCCGAAAGCCGGGAGGCATGGCCCAGGCTAGCCTGCCTTCCTACCCTCCCTCCCCAACCTCCCCTCTCTCCCCAGCCGTGGTCGCTTGTGCCCAGGGGACTCAAGGCCGCTCGGCCTCTCCACCGGACACTCCGCAAAGCGGGTTCCAAAGGAGAAGGGCGAGCGACCGGGACTCCGACCCGCCCAGTCCTTAGCGCCCTTCTCCAGTTCGTAGGAGCAGAGCACGCGGGAATGCACCCGACCGCGGGCAGGCGGAGGCTCCTGGCTGTACGCAACGCTTACCCGGCCAGGTCAGGTTCCTAGCCTGGTTATTGTCCGCTGAGCCGCCCTGGGCCGGGCTGCAGCCTCGGCTGCCGCAGCTGAGAGCGCCGCCACCGCAGCTGCTGCCGCCGCCGCCGCGGCTCCAGTCACCTCCAGCACTGACTCCCCTTCCCCAGGCTTTGGGTAGCTCCCCCATACCCCCTCCCCCAGTACTCCAAGGCCACCGGGTGGGGCATCTGCGTCTTGATTGGCAGGCGTATGGTCCAATCGCTATGGTGGGAAGGCGTGCCCCGGCCCGCCCACTGTTTTCCTTGGTGCGTTTCTCTTTAAATGCAAATAAGTGCAGGCGTGGTGTTGGCAGGGGGCGGAGAGGGTGCGGAACCACTGGCTGGGGCTCCCCACTCCCGCCCCCATGCCGGGCTGGTAGTGGCGTGGCTGCACCGTGGCTTCAAGGAGCCGGTCCTGTCCGGATGGGGCTCGCCGGATCCCTGGAGCTCGGTTTCGGTTTTCACGCACTGCCACTTCCGTGGCCGCTGTGCATTCACGTGTGCCCTGGCCGCCAGCAGGCCGTTTATTCCTGAGCTAGAGGCCGGCGGGGAGTAACGAGGCAGAGAGGTTGAGGAACCTGGGGAGACTGCAGAAACCCTTAGCACCTCCGCCGGCCCTTCCTTAGTCGTAGAGACAAGGCCCTGCGGATCGCGCCGCCAGGCCACCCAGAGGAGGGACTCACCTGCCAGGAAAGCCAGCTGCAGCGCCTGCGCCCTAACTTCGTCCGCCTCTCTGGCACACCGGTGCCCCTAAGACCATAGAGGCCAACTTCCACCCGTTACCGACGGGCCCTCTGCTGCCCCGAGTAGGGAAAGCCCCTCCCCACAGTTACCCAGCCGGCCTGCGACATAGGCCAATTTGGAATACAGAGCCCCGGGCTCCCCTTCCAGGATTGCTTTCACTTTTCTTCTCTGAGATGATACCTGTTTTCCATAGATTGACCCTCACCCAAATTTCCCAACTTCTATGGAATGTGGAGGGAATCCCCAAGGTCTTCAGAGTCCCCCTTCCCCCTATCCTTTGTGAGCCTGGCTTTGTGCAGGCCTTTTTTCCTGAAAAGTCTAAATATCGAGAGGAAAATCTTGTCTGGGCCCAAACCGGAGGTCAGGCTGAGGACAAAATGAGGAGGCCTGTACCAGCCTTGTCTGCTACTGTGTGTGGGATGTGGCAGGGAGCCAGCCGAACTTGGGTCTCTAGCCTGAGGACATTAAGTGGCATCAGTGGCTGCCAGGGCCAGGTGAGCGGAGGCAACAAAGAATCTAGTTCCACCTCTAGTTCAAGAATATCCAGAAGGCCCAGCCCTAAAACTCTGTGCGTGTCTAAAAAGGGAGGTGGGTGGATTAAAGTTGAGGATAGAGAGAAGGATTAGAGAACAATGCGTGCTATTTTTGCATTGCAGGAGTGTTCTCTGCTGCTTCTGGGTCCTGACAGTCTTGAAAAGATCCAGCTGCTGAACTGGTAAGAGGTGGACTTCTGCCTCTGCATGTGTAGAGCACAGGAACTGACATGGCTGCTAGGGATCTGACTCTAGCTCTACGTCAGACTTGCTGGACACCTTGGCCAATTAGTTTTTTTTTCTCTGGGCCAGTCCATCACCCCGCCTCCACAAGGAGAGGGTAAGCATCATCAGGCTCTCTTGATATCTTTGAGATCTGAGAGTTCAACTCATTTTTTTTCTATAGTATTCCATGACCTTCCACGGAATATTATAGGAAATATAGATATTCCATGACCTTCCATGACATTCTATACATTGCCAACAAAAATCAATATTGAACATCAGACTCCCTTCCTAGTACCGAGTCTAAATAAATGGTGAGGAGTAGGGAGCTGCTGCTGGCTCATTATGTAACTTTTTTTTCCCATCTGAATGGCTGGACTATAAAAGTTTCCCTGGGGCTATGCTTTCCTGCTTTGCAAAGTCCTGATTCTCATTTGTAGGCCTGATTTGGAAGTTTATTTTGTTTTCCAGAATCTCCATTATAGACTTCCTCCCTACCTCGTGCCTCTGGTCACTGCCACTTGCTCGCATTTCACTCAGAACCTTGATTCTCTAAATTAGACCAAGATTGTGATTTGGAGAAGGCAGTTTGCAAACCTGGGGTCCACGGAAACAAAGGGCCAGAGCAGTCTCAGTTGTGGAAGCAGGGAGAGAGGAGGTGTGCAAAGTAGTCAGGTGGCAGGCTTGAAATAGGCCCAGGCACTATTGTGCTTCTCCTGTCACAGGGACTAGTCTTCTATGCCTTCTGCCCAGTCACCAAACATTCTGTCACACCAGGATGGTCTCTGTCTCCTGACCTCGTGATCCACCCGCGTCGGCCTCCCAAAGTGCTGGGATTGCAGGCGTGAGCCACCACGCCCAGCCGAAACCAGTTTCTAATGTAAACACACATGAGCCTATGATTTCTTATGCACAGATTCACTTTATTGTGCAGACCTAGACCCAGTTTTCAAGGGCAGAATATTTTGTTCATCTTCATATCCTCGGCACTCAACAGAGAGTTTGGCACAAACCTGTCATGAGCATGTATTTACTGAACATAGTCAAATGAGGCATTTCAGGCCTAATATCAAGCTTAAGTGCCAGCATCCACTAGTAAAGTGTGATGTTACCACTCATTGGGCATCTCCTTTGTGCCAGGCCCTGTGTTAAGTGACACACTCATTACCCAGAATGATGGACTACACACAGCTTCTGGTCTCAAGGGCAACCAGTCTAGTGGAAGAGGAAGAAAACTCCTGAGTTTCTTGCTTGGGCAAGGGACTGCTGGATAGTGTTGTCATCAAGTGAACTGAGGAATATAAGAACACAATTAGGAAAATGTAATGATTCTGTTTAGGACATACTGAATTTGACTTGTCAGAAATCCCACCTCAGGGCCTTTGCACTGGCTGTTCCTTCTGCCTACAGTGTTTGTCCTCTGAATATTGGCATAGTTTGCACCTCATTTCCTTCAGGTGGCTGCTCAAATGTCATTAATAGTAACACCTTCACTGAACAGTTGATGTATAAAATAGCAATTCCCATTTCCACCCCCTTCACTCTCCAGTTCTTTAATTGGCCTTTGTTTCTTATCCATAGCATTTACCACCTCTTGGTATATTTCTTATTGTTATTTATTTTAGAGTCATTTTTGAATTTTCTGTTTCTTATCATGAAAATGGAAGCTCTGTGAGGGATAGACAATGAACAAATAAGTACATAAAGTATACAATAGGTCAGATGGCAATAAATGTGATGGAGATCCTGGGGCAGTGGCACATGCCTGTAGTCCCAGCTACTTGGGAGGCTGAAGCAGGAGGATAGCTTAAGTCCAGGAGTTCTGGGCTGTAGTGCACTATGCTGATAGGGTGTCTGCACTAAGTTCAGCCTCAACATGGTGACCTCCCAGGAGCAGGGGACCACCAGGCTGCCTAAGGAGGTATGAACTGACCGAGATCAGAAACGGAGCACATGAAAGCTTCCATCTTGATCAGTAGTGGGATTGCACGTACAAACAGCCACTGCACTGCAGACTGGGCAACATAGTGAGACCTTGTCTCTTGAAAAATAATGCGATGGAGAAAAATAGAGCAGGGAATGGGTACAGGGGGTCCTGAGGGGTGCTGTTTTAAACAAGGAAGTTGGAGAAGGTGATATTCTAGCAAAGACCTAGAGGAACTGAGAGAACAAACCATGAGGATATCTGGAGGAAGAGCATTCCAGGTAGAGAGCCAGTAAATACAAAGTCCCTGAGATGGTGACATGCTGAAATGTTAGAGGAGCATCTAGGCAAGCCAGTGCACCTGGAACACAGTGAGTGAGGAGGAAAGTGGTAGGAGAGGAGGTCAGAGAGGACATAGGGAAACAGACAATGTATAGTTTTGTGAGTCATTTTAAATACTTTAGATTTTGCAGGATTTTGAGCTGAGGAATTACATGACCTCAGTAAAGAATTTAGGGTGCTATAGCAACAAAAGAAGAAGCAGAGAGGCCAGGAAGGAGGCTCTGATAGTGATCCATATCAGAATAGAGGCAGTGGAGATGGTAGAAACTGATTGGACTCTGGATGTATTTGGAAGATAGAACTGGCTGGGCTTGGTGTTGATAACTTAGATGAATGATGTGAGGGAAAGAGAAGAGTGAGGAATAGAAGCCCACAAAGCCCTGAGAAAGAGGGATTGGCAATGTGAAACCAGAGGAAAGAGAATTGGCTCTCCTAGAAGCCAAGTAAAGTACTGGGATTTTATACAAGACAGAGTTACCAAGAATGTATGTGTCAGATGCTGCCCAGAAACCCAGCAAGATACAGGCAGAAAAGATGCCACTGGATGGGCAAGTCACTGGTAATATGGGCAAGGCCAGTTCAGGACAGAGTTGTAGATATACACCAGACTGCGCTGGGGTGTCAAGAGAATGGTCTGTGAGAAAAGGGAGAATGTATACAGCTTCCTTGTTCTAGAAGTTTGACCACAAAGATGTGGTAGCTAGAGGGGTCCCTGGTGTTCAGGTTTGTTTTTACAAGATGGAAGGATGTGAGTTTGTTTATGTGCTGAGAGGAAAAGAAGTCAATCAAGTAGAAGATACAGGAAACAAGATAATTGATGGGTGGGGGCTGCAGGTGGCAGTGGGGGATGGAAACCAGAGCCCTTACAGACGAATTAACCTTTGCTGGGACGAGGGATCAAGACAAGAGGGAAAAATGGGTGGATTCAGCAGAGTTTGTTGTTATGGAAGGTTGAAGATGTCACTCCTTATGACCTGTACCTGCTCTGGGAGGAAGGATGCAAAATTCCTAGTTGACAGTGAGAGGAAAAGCAGTTCTGGAGGGAGGTTCAAGGAAGTCTGTCAATATTGGACAAGGTTTGAAATAGCCACTGCAGACAATGGGCTAGTTGGTAAAGGTCAAGCTAGGCTGTCACCCAGGAATGTATAGCCACCCCACTCTGTAGTTTTGTGACATCCTGCTTCCTAGCTATGTGACCTAGAGCAACTTCACTTAGCCTACTTAATTTCACTGCACCTCAGTTTCCTCATCTATAAAATGGGCATGAGTAAAACAAAGCCATTGAAATAAATGAGTTAATCCATGTGAAGTAATTACTGAGGACACTGCCTGGAACATATAAGTGCTTGATGGAAATCAACTCTTTAGAGTTATTT